CCCCACACCCTCTCCAGCCCCCTCGCCCACCTCTGTTCCTCAGAACCTGCCGCCACAGGATCTTCCCTATCACATTGGTCCACATGGCCTTGACCTCTGGAGAGCTCGCCTGGAGAATGTAGGAGTCCTGGGATTTCCGCCGCCTGCGGAACCAGATCTCAAATTTCGCACCACTGTCCCCGACGGTCTCCGTCAAGCCGATTTCAGCCATCTGCAGTCACAATGCAGGAGGGAACCTCAGAGACGCCCACGAACAACAGACCCCTTTCGGGCTGACACTTGACCCCAAAGCCCTTCAGGGCTGTAGGCCCCTTTACCAGGACACCAAATGGTATGGACGAGGCCCGGTGGGGGCCAGCTCTGGACAGGACGGATCAAGTTTTCACCCCATCCACACTGGCTCTCTCTTGGGGCCTCAGTTTCCCCACTGGAGAAATGGGGACAATACTGGAAGGTCTGTGGTGCCCTCTGGCTGTCACACACTTGGTGGGGTCTCACACCATCACACTCTGATATGTTCCTCAGTGCTGGCAGGTAAGGGGTTGTGGGTTTGGGCTCCTCCCAGGAGTCCCCAAAGCTCTTTACTCTCAGGGCCTCCTTTAGGGGCCGGAGGGCCACCCTGAGACCCACCAAGGGGAGGGCTTCTCTGGTGTTTGCTTTTATCAAAATCCAAAATGAAGTGACTGAGGAGACACTGTTCTCCAGCCACCGAACCAGAACCCAGAAAACCTGGAAGCTTTGGGAGTCACGGGTTTTCAAAATCCAGTCAAAGAACCATAGGAAAGAACATGTACTATGAAGACCAGCAGGGACCAGCCCAACGCCAGCGGCATGAGGCACAAGGCGGGCACATTACCTTGAAGGACTGCTTGTATGTGTAGATGTCATAGCTTCCGTCCACCTTCCTGGTCTTGCTGAACAAGATGAGATCTTCGAAAAGGAAGACATGCCTCAGGTACTTCTTTCTTCCACAGTAAACGATGAATTCATCCCGGCATCTCAGTTGTCCCTGCTCCTTCAAATTCACCTGCGGACCGAGCAAGCAAGGCTCCCTCAGGGACCACTGGGTTTGATCTGAGGCCACCCTGACCTCTGGAGGCGGGTGGGGTGGGGTGAAGGCCAATCATCCAATCAGTCACACCGATGTAATGAGGCCTCCACAAAACCCCAGGAGGACGGTTGCAGAGCTTCCTGTTGGTGAGCACATGAAGATGAGGGGATGATTCACACCCTTTCCCCACGCCTTGCCCTGGGGCATCTCTTCCGTCTCACCGTTCCCGAAATGTACCCTTTATAATAAACCGGTGATCCAGGAAGGGAGCTATTTCTCTGAGTTCTCAGAGCTACTCCAGCAAATTAATGGAACCCAGGAGGGGGTTGTGGGAACCTCCCGTCTACAGCTGGTTGGTCAGAAGAATAGGTGACAGCCTGGACTTGCGATTGATCAGCATCTGAAGTGGGAAGGAGTCTCTTGGACTCAGCCTGTGGGGTCTACATCATCGAAGGGTAGGTGGTTTCAGAAGTGAGTGGAATTACAGGATACTCAGCTGGTTCCAAGAACTGCTTGGATGTGTGGGAAAACCCCCACATTGGAACTGGGTGCAGAACCCTCCCGGTGGGGTCCCCTCGAGCCCACATTCATGTTCATCTGTGTGGATGTTACAGTACAAGCCTCTGCCTTCAATTTTACTAAACTTTCCACTTCAAAGCCCTTTTCTTCATTAAAAAAAATGTTTTCACTGATGTTAGAGACAGAGGGAGGGAGAGGGAGAGAAATATTGATGTGAGAGAGAAACATCAATTGGCTGCCTCCTGCATGCCTGCTACTGGTTACTGAGCCCTCAACCGGGGCATGTGCCCTCAACCGGGGCATGTGCCCTAACCGGGAATTGAACCACCAATCTCTTGATGCATGCATCAGCTCAACCAACTGAGCCACACTGGCCAGGGCGGCCCTTTTGTTAATTTTAACGGAAACCCCCTTGTTGAAGTGCTGGAATCTCACTCACTGTGTATAAATGCCCAACGTGGTAGCCCCAGGAGTTACCACACCTGAGCTGTCCCACACCATGGACATCCCTCTGAGCTGATACTCAGGGATGTACCTGCTGTGCCCCAGCCAGGCTAGCGCTCTTTGTGGATGGATCCCAATGACAGACAACTTAGCACTGTCTCTCCTATGACTTTCCCTCTGTGTATGGCCCTGTCCTGGGTGATGCCTGAGGATGCTGCTTGGATCCCAGTCATCCCAATTGCTCAGCCAAGTGGACTGGGAGAGTTTGAGGGGCTGTGGGTTCTTGGTGATGATCCCGTGGTTTGTTGCTCTGTTGTCCTCTTGAAACTCTTGTAAAAAATTTATCTTGCTTTCCCTAGCCGGTTTGGCTCAATGGATAGAGTGTCGGCCTGCAGACTGAAGGGTCCTGGGTTCGATTCTGATTAAGGGCACATGCCCGGGGTTGCAGGCTGGATCCCCAGTGTGGGGCATGCAGGAGGCAGCTAATCAATGATTCTCTCTCATCATTGATGTTTCTATCTCCCTCTTCCTCTCCCTTCCTCTCTGAAATCAATAAAAAAATAAATTTATCTTTCTTGTTGAAAGTATTACAGATGCCCCCTACCCCCCCATTGACCCCTACTCCCCAATCCCACCCTCTGCCCAGGCCTTCACCGCATTATTGTGTGTGTCCACAGGTTAGAACGCTGCTTGTAGCAAGGTGCCCGCATTTTCACTGTGATCTGGAAATTCTACAGCCGTCCATCTGACAACCAGAGACAAGGAATCCTGCCTAATCGGGAGTCTCCTCTTCCTGCCCATGTGGTCCTGCCACGCCAAGGTGTGGGGGATGTGGACACCAGGCCTCGGCCCCCTAGTAGAGACCAGCCTGTACCTGGCCAGGCCAGGCCTCAAGCCCAATGGCCCAACTCAACTTTCATGCATCCAGTTGTTTTCAAATAGCCCTGGTACCTACAACTGTGCGGCATTCGGAGCCCACCCGATCTCACACCCTACCGCTGCTGCTCCAAAACTGGACACTGAGCTCCTCTCTGCTCCCCTCTCCCCCTTGGGTAGGGGCCTCTAAGCTTTGGGGACATCCCTAAAGAGAAGTTCTGTGCTCCTGACCCCAGGCACGTCCTTCCCCTTGATCGACCCAAAGCCCTGAACCACGAGAGCCTGTTGGGGCCTCAGGGAACTTACATGGCAGCGGCGAACAGCATCCAGGGCCAGCAGATCGTTGCCGTGGCGCAGCTGGAAGCGAACCATGTCCTCGGCGGCCTTCAGCTCCGCCAGCTCCTGCTCGTGGGTGGGGCAGCGCCCGGCTTCCTTGACCAGGTCCTGCAGCAGCAGGGCGTACTTGCCCATGCGCTGCACGGGCTTCAGCAGGTAGGAGGCCAGGTCCATCTTGTCGCCCAGTGCCTGCTGCTTGTCCTGCAAGGGCCGGGGGACAGGGTCAGTTTGGGCCAGGCCAGGGGTGGTGCAGCAGGCTGGCGGGCTGGGGGATGACCTTGAAGAAGGTGAGACCGTGGCTGCAGAGCAGGGCATCCGACTGGGGCTTGTTCTTGCTGTAGAGCGCGTACATGCCAAACTGTTCTTCCTGCAAAGGGAGGGCACGATGCACCTGAGCGGGGGCTCCGGCCAGAGCCTGGGCCGCGGCCCCAGCCTGCAGCACAGTTTTCAACACGGTCATGAGAAAAGGACACGGTGTTCCATTAGGGCCACCTCAGCTCCCCCTGCATGGTGAGTGCTCTGGGGTGCAATGCCAGAGTCCTGGATGGGTCTTAATACAGAGTTTGGGGGAAGAGGCACGGGGAGCACTCACAGGTCGGGCAGGGGAGGAGCATGGGAGTGCTGAAATTTTTGTTAATGGTCAAGAACCAAAGTTGTCCAAACATTTAAAATTCTTACAAATATGAAACACTAGAGGCCCGGTGCACGAAATTCGTGCATGGGGGTGGGGTCCCCTCAGCCGAGCCTGCACCCTCTCCAATCTGGGACCCCTTGGGGGATGTCCCTCTCACAATCCTGGAACGCTGGCTCCTAATTGTTTGCCTGCCTGCCTGGTTGCCCCTAACTGCCCTCCCCCTGCTGCCCTGGTTGCCCCTCACTGCCTCTGTGTGCTGGTCTGATCACCCCTAACTGCCCCCCGCTGCCGGCCAGGTCACCCCCAACTGCCCCCCCTGCCGACCTGGTCACCCCTCACAGCCCCCGTGCCAGCCTGGTTGCCCCACGCAGCTTGCTGTTCAGTCGTTTGGTCGTCCCTCACTAACCCCCTGCTGGCCTGGTCGCCCCACACAGCCTGCTTGTTCAGTCATTTGGTCATCCCTCACTAACCCCCTGCCGGCCTGGTTGTAGGCAGCCATCTTTGTGAGGGCGTGAGGGTTTATTTGTATATCACCTCTTTATTATACAGGATTATACAAGTTGCACCTTATGGCTAAAAGTGCCCTTTCAAAAATAGCTGAAAAGGCACAATGTGGACTTTCTGTCATCCATGGAGTTTCTGGTGGTCACTTGTATTTAACACCACCGAAGCAAACGTGTCATTGCCCACAGCACAGCCCAGTGCCTACAGCTGTGCCTCGTAGCTACTCGTTGAAAGAATCATCTTTTCAGGGTGAATTAAAAATTTTTCAGAGACCCCAACAGGGAGCTATTCCATATTCATGGTTGAGAAGAGACGTAGCAAAGAAGGGCAGCTCCCACAGGTGGTCTGTGCACCCCGACCAGGTGCTCTCAGAACTCAGGCTGGTCTTGGGGCCCGTCTGGAGGGGAGCTGGCTGGGCCCCAGGCGGGAGGGTGTGAAGGGACCGTGGGCTTCGCCGTGCAGGAAGCAAACTGATTTTGGGAGTTCCTTTTGGCTGATTCGGTGAGGAAGTGGGGCTGTCAATAGAATTAAGTGGACGATGTGGATGCAGCCCCCAGCACTCTGTGGCTTTCAACAGGGGTGCTGCCAGGAGACCTGGGAGTACCATGTCTGTGCTGTTGGACCTACAGGCTTATTGTCTGCTCTGGGGACACATGTCCTAAGCCTGGACTGCAGGCTCCCGATGGCCTGGAATGAGGGTGGGCTCTCCAGACCCTGCTGCTCTGAGGGCGAGCACTGACTGCCCACCACAGGGGGGGACTTACGTGTCTCAGAAACCCGCGCCCAGCGGCCAAGGGGCAGTGCCGGCAGCGCTCCAGCTCTGTGAGGAAGTGCTGTTGGTGGAAGTTATAGAGCTTCTCCAAGTTCCCAAAAATGATGCTGCGCTTCCCTCGCAGGTCCGGTGGCAGGTCCACTCTTTCCATCTCTGGAAAATAGTTGTCGACGACATATCCTAAGGACCTAACATACTCCCTCTCCGTGGAGATCATCTCGGCCATTATGTGCTGCAGGCGGCTGCTGGAAGACACAGAGCGGGCGGGTGCTGAGGGATGCACATGGGTGCACGGACGGGAGGTGCACGGCTCAGCATCTTTCTGGATAAGTTTTCTGTCTTCGGCTGTGAGTAAGGTCAAGCCTGCCCCACACCCAAGTCATGCTTTGCCGGAAGCCAATTCCAGCAAGTCAGCAAGGCTGAATCATCTGGAAATGGCTGAGGGCACTTCCCCAAACCTGAAAAGGATGCATAAATGATTGCTTGCTGCCAGACAGCTGAGGGCATTTCAATCTACATGTTATTGCCTCCTACTGGCCAAACACCTGAACAGCCGTAGGCAGTTTCTCCCAAATCTGACAATGGATTCTGTATACTAAACCCTGGCCTTTGAGACGTATATCTACCTTGCTTTAGGACAATTTGTGTTAATAAAAAGCAAGGGGTCCAGAGAGACAGTAGAACTTGGTTTCTTTAGCTAAGTCTTCTCTGGCTCCCCAAAATGCCTTCCAAAATTATGTTTCGTCTCTGGACTCTTTATTAATTTACACACAGCGCCTTCTCCAGATTCCTGAACCCCTTCTAGATGCTGGATCAACACCCCCGGCATTAATGCTTGGTTCCCGGGAGCTGCTCCCCTAACATAGAGTGAGAAAAGGTAAGAGGTACAGGGGAGAGGTGTGTGTTCCCATGTTATTGGTCATGGCCTTTCCAAATGAAAATCCTTTAGGAAACGGAAAAGGGGAGACTCGCAGGCTCCCTGACCGAGTCCTGCGGGTTCTCATTCCCAGGCAGCCTGGTGAGCGCCTGCTTGGGGGTGGTGGTGGGAGGGTGGCTCCAGCAATAAGAAGACTTGACTCTCAGCAGCGAGCCCTGGGCAAGGAAGGCTGAGCTGGAGATCAGTGAGAAAATGAGTTTCTGATGCACCCCGACTGCTAAGCTATCAGAAGAGATTTATGAAAAACAAAACAGCTTTAAACTGCAGTGACATCCCACCCAGGGGCTGAGGAGAAGCAGCTGGAGCAGAGGACACCACGCAGGGCCTGGGGCCCAGGACAGCGAGGAGACAAAGCGGGGGAAGGGCTCCTGGAGCTCCTTCGTGTGGCGAGCTAGCACTTACGTGCCACCCATCAACTGCACCAAAGGCACTGCATCAGGGAAACCAGAAGGGGTCTGTGGTGGCCTGGCCCCACCCCCTAATAGCAAGGCACGTGCTTTCTCCCTACTTGATAGCATCCTATTGTCAACTTCCTTACATTACTTAATCCTAATGACACTAATGGCGAATGGCAAGTTTTTTTTGTTGTTGTTGTTTTTGCCTGCTTTACTTTTTTTTTTTTAATTTGGAAAAATGTTAAAAGCAAATAATGATGTCAATACACCTGTGGTCAGAAATGTTCCTGACTGATCCCGTTTATGAGCCTTCCCCGTCCCCACCACACATACCAGAATTTATAAACACTTATTGTTTCTAAGAAGGCAGCACATCTGGCCAGCCGGGGGCACCTGCTGCCGGGCAGCCTGGATGTGCCTCTGGAGGTGCCCCTGGTGCACAGCACAGGCCTCGGAGAATCACCTCCTACCAACACTCACAGAAAACAAGTGTTCTCCTTAAATGCTCAGACACAAAATTAAAGGGAGAGTAGTCTGGATAGTTGGACCAAATTAAATGGAAACGGACTCATGAGGCCGTAATAGCTAGAAATTTCTGGGGAAATGATGCTGATCAGGTGACAGGAGCTCGCCCTGGACACCTAGCAGGTCTGGGTCTTCAGGAAAGATGAGTTTCATTTAATCACCACCCCCAACCCCCGGGCCCTGGCATTTGAGAAGGACTTGCTCCCTCTCTGGGTATAGCGTGGACTCCTTGCTACTAGACCCTGGGGTGGTAGTCTGTGGCCTACGAATGGTGGGAGAGGAGACGAGTCCCCAGCGGCAAAGGCAGGATGGCTTTCCAAACCTGCAGCCTTCCCCACCCAGGATGTCCATTCCGGGTGACCAGGGGCAGCTCTTGTGAGTGGACGGCTCCACCCCTTCGTTCTGCTGCCCTGGAACTTTCTACATGAGCACAGTGGATCTGGAAGGCCATCCACAAACCCAAGTTACCCACTGCCACCTTCCCATGGAGTCCAGCCACAGGGAACACCCCCGCTCTGCTCCTGCCACTGTAAGAATGAGCCCTTTCCCTTTAACAAGGCACACTGTAACTGCCCTAGGTTTAGAAACTTAAAGGTGTGCTTCAGAAGAGCATTTTGTGACCATCTCAGTTCAGATGAAAGCTGCTCTCCATGAGGAGGAAACGCGGGACAAACCAGCAAATAAACTAGGATGCCCCACCTCCAGGCTGCAACGCTCGCTGGGAAAGCGCAAGCAGCACAGCGGTGCTGTGACACCAGGCCAGTGTCACTGTCTGGCATGGGGGGGGCGGGGGGGGGGGCGGAATTCCTGCCACTTTATCTAAACAGTTAATAAAAAGCATCATTTTACACACATCTCAAAAATTAACAAGTTAAAATGGACGTCTATTTTCATTTGCGCAATACATACACAGGTACACACTTCTGACCGGGGCACTTAGAGGCTTTTTAAAAAGCAATTGTTAAGGTAATTTCTTGGTATTGTGGGCTTGATTTGCTTATTGTAATTTTCTATAAATGGGCTCCGAGTAACTAGACTTGGTTGTTTAACCATCAAAGTGGGTGTGCCAGGTCACCACATGCTGTGAAAAAGAAGGCATTTCAACAATTCTGTTCTGAACACTGGAGGTAGTCAACATCTTGCTTAAGGTCAAACACGAGTCTGTCTGGCCTGGACAGGTCAGGGTAGCCTGGAGGGACATCTATTTTGCAGAGCAAATGTAATGGCTTTGCATTTCTACATCCCCACTGACCACTAGGCCCTAAGTCTGCAGGGCGTCCACCTCACCTTCCTGCTGGCCTCCTCCTGTCCTCGGAGGCGTGGATCCTGGAGGGAGAGGACAGGCTCCGGTTCCGAGTGACCAGGGGGCTTTTGGCATGTGGCCTCAGGGGGGGCTTCTTCTCTGAGGCCACCGTGCTGGCCACGTCCAGGCCTTGGATGAAGCCCCCAGTGTGGGCTGGCCAGTGGGAGTCCCTGGGGCTACTGTCAAGCTGTGGCATCTCTGAGGTGAGTGTTTTCTTCATCATTTTCTTCAGGGGCTGTTTCCTGTGGTGGATGATGGGCATCTGGATGGGCTCAGAGGAGCAGGTGGAACTGTCGTCTGGGGTATGTACACCTGAGTCCAGGTGCTCACCGTCCTGCCCACAGAAAGTGACTTGTCCGGGGAGGCTGGACAGCAGTTGTGCCCGCTCCCCAGCGCAGCCCTGAGGGTCCGGGAGGGGGGTCCAGGATGGCTCGCGGAGCCTCATCTCGGCCCCTTGGATGAGCTCATGCTTCAAGGGCCCCTGGTCTGGAGGGGGGGCACCAGGGCCCGGGGCAGCCTCAAAAAGGGCTTCTTGGGAGCAGAGGTGCATCTGCTGGCACTGCAGCCACAAGGCGTGCCACTGCTGCAGTGCCTGCTGGCTGCCCAGGCCCAGCACCGCCACGCTCGCCAACACCCCCCTGGCATCCTGGGGACAGCTCTTCAGACACTCGGCCACCAGCTCTGGGCCCAGAGGTTGCAGGCACTCACCGCCGTGCAGCATCCCCCTGTTCACCTGTGCAGCAAAGCGGGGTGCAGGTCAGTACAGTGACGGACTCGCACAGCCCGATGGCTCTGCAGGCCCCACCCAACGTTGTTCTGCCATCCAGGCACCCACAGTGCGGAGCAGGGTGAGCCAGGCAGCCAGAGTGAGAGGAACATCCCTCTGCCCATGGGGGTAGCTGCCATCTGGACTCACCCAGAGGGCTCACACAAGTCCTCCACAGGCCCCAGGGCACCGTGACGGTGTCCCAGGACCAGGGGATGTCTGAGAAATCAGTTATTCCACATCTCCGCCTGGTGCGGGGCCCCGAGAGGCATGACAGCAGGCAGAGATCGCCTGCCTCTGCCCTGCCTGTGCTGGCCTCCCCTGACCCCTTGGATTCTGTCAAGAGGGGCGGTGCTCCTGAGGGCTGTAGCCCCAGGGTCCCCAGTGGCCAGGCAATTCTAGGGTGCTGTGAGGTCACAGCCGTGTGCTGTACTGTGGCGATTATTTTGGGGACCTTGGCAGTAAGTGGACTTTTATAACTGAGCTGGTAAACAAGCAGAAAAGTCCACATGCCCATTTGGCCCATGTATTCAGAACAATGAATGAACTCTTCACAGGTCTGAGAACCAGGGGCGTGGTCTGACAGGAGGGCTGGCCAGCTGTCCCAGCGCCCCGCCCACCCAGACCAGCAGGGGACAGCACTCACTAAATGTCCGAGGAGTAAAGGACGAGGGCAGCACACGTGGGTCCCTGAGTGGAACTCCGCTGGGTCTCTTACCGCTAGGCAGAACTGGGAGTGGCAGGCCCGCTGGGCCAGCTCTCCCTCCGTCGGCTCCTGGCTGGCTGTGGCGCTCAGATACCCGCCGGCGTCCTGCACCGTGTCCTCTGTGCCCCTCGAGTCGTTCTCTTCCTTCAGCTGTTGTCCTTCCTGACGGCACTGCTGGAGCCCAAGGAATCAACCATCAGCACAAGCTGGGCACTTACTCTGGGGTTCCGGAGCGAGGGCTGGGCTGCACCCACCGTCGGCCTGGGGTGCCTGGCTCGCAGCTCCGGCTGCAGCAGCTTCACGTTCCCAATAGGCAGCAGCTCCAAAGGGCTCGGCCATGTCTCGTGCTCTCTTTCAAACCATGCTTTGATCTACGTGGGAAAAGAAGATTTTACTTTCACACGTGTGAAGGAGTCCGGCTCCGAGACTGTGGAGGAGGAAGGAGGAGTCAGGTGCTACCCCGGGGGCTGGCTCGCACGTTCTGACACTCCTTCTCCTGATGCACACACGGCATCTCACTCGAACACGTGAGTAGCTACATCACAGTGAGGGCCACAATGAAGGCTCCAGTTTACAACTATTTTCATTGCTTGGAACTGGAAATTGAGATCATTGAAAAATAGATCCAGAACTCTCAGTGTTGAAACTTCTTACTACGCTAAACATACCCAGGAAATAGTTTTCAGGCTGGTGGTGCTTGGACACCGGGGGCTGCCTGGGAGTGACAGAGGGGCCGGCAGCAGCCCTGCCTGCACCTGACAGTGTGATGAGGTCCAGGTTTTCATTTTAGAGACAAATTTCATGGCACTATCTCGTGGTTCAGACTGAACATGTCAGAGGGAAATGCTTCCTCCTCATTCACAGTTCTCACTGGAGAGCAATGCCAGGGACCCCCGGCTGTTAGGTGCCCAAGAAGAGAGGTCTGTTATTAAAAACAGTGGGATCAGGCTGCACCATGACCACAAGAATTGGATTCAGTGCTCCCAGCTGTACAGGCAGAGGAGAGAGATCAGTGGACACTCTTTGTGGGGAGAGTCATGGAGAAAAATATCAAGACAAGAATTCTATTTTATTATTTGTTAATTTTTAACATCTTTATTGTTGAAAGTATTACAGATGTCCCCTTCATCTTTATTGTTCAGATTATTACACATGTCCCTCTAATTTACCTCCATAGCTCCCCTCCACCCAGTTCCCACCCCACCCCAGGCCCTCACCTCCCCACTGTCTGCGTCCATGGGTTATGCATGTATTCATACAAGGTCTTTGGTTGATTACCTCCCACCCACCTACCCTCAGATTCTGCACTCTGTTCCATGCTTCCATGTCTCTGGATTCACTCCGTTCATCAGTTTATTTTGTTACTTAGATTCCAATATGAATGAGATCATGTGATACTTGTCTTTCTCTGACTTATTTCACTTAGCATGATACTCTCCAGGTCCCTCCATGCTGTCTCAAAGGGTAAGAGATTCTTCTTTTTTACTGCTGCATAGTATTCCATGGTGTAAATGTACCACAGCTTTTTTCCCCCCACTCATCTACTGATGGACACTTGGGCTGTTTCCAGACCTTAGCTGTTGTAAATTATACTGCTATGAACATAAGGGTACATACATTCTTTCTGATTGGTGTTTTCAGGTTTCTTAGGATATATTCCTAGAAGTGGGATCACAGGGTCAAATGGCAGTTCCATATTTAGTTTTTTGAGGAAACTCCATACTGTTTTCCATAATGGCTGCATCAGTCTGCATTCCCACCACAGTGTACTTTTCTCCACATCCTTGCCATCACTTGTCCTTTGTTGATTTTTTGATGGTAGCCATCTGACAGGTGTGAGGTGATACCTCATAAAACAAGAATTTTATAAGGAAGCACCGGTGATGTCAGAGCTGCCGGTGGGGAGGAGCAGGAAATGGACAGCATAGCAGAGGCCTCTCGGAGGTGGAGTGCGCCCTCCAATCATGTGAACAAATTTAATTCTAGTTGGTTTGAAGATTTAAATGAGAAAATTAAAACCATAAAGGTCGTACGATGGAATACATTAGTTATTCTGTAACCTTAAAGTAGAAAAGGCCATTTCAGTCATAAGCAAAGTTAAAAGACAAATTATAAACCGGGGAAATTATTTGCAACATAATGAAAGGATCAGAAGAAGTGACACAATGAAACTATTACAAACAGTAGAGAAACTGGCCAAGTGCAAGAAAATGCAACTTATTAAAGAATAAATACAAATAACCAATAAATGCATGAAGACAGAGCTCCACTACAGCATAAAATCCTAAATGCAAACACTGGTGAGATCCTGAACTTGTATTCATCAGATTAACATGACGATAATCCACGCTGGGCAGGCTGACTGGGGCCACTTGCCAAATGTGTAAAAACAGTGCTGAGCTGAGGAATTTGTCCACAGTGAACAACCCAAAGAGAGAGAGAGGCAGGCATAGTGATGTTTATGACAGCAAAAAGCAGGGCTGCTTGGGGTACTGGGCATATAGCCCACCAGACAAAGCAGGTCAGAAGCAACTGTGTGCAACATGATCACACTTAAAAAAAACAATCTTCACCCAAGTATGGATGGATGGATGGATATGTGTGTGTGTGTGTATGTGTGTGTATGTATGTGTGTGTGTGTGTGTGTGTGTGTGT